CGGGAGGCAGATCAGCAGCTGTGGGCCCAGGGCCTGGAGCGCCACGGCGGGGGGCAGCCGGAGCCTGGCTCCAAGGCGGAGGTCACGTGGGGAGTGGAGGATGAGGAGATCTGGAGGAAGCTCTCCTTCCGCCACTGGCCCTCCCTCTTCAGCTACTACAACATCACCCTGGCCAAAAGGCAAGTGCGGCACTGGCCAGGTGCCCAGAGCTGCCCCATCGGGTCTGGCTCAGCCCTTCGCCCTTGGACAGATGAACACAGCTCCCTGCGGGCAGCCCTTCCAACCCCTGCATGGCAGGGGGGTTTGCCCTTGGCCATTCTTCCCTCCTCACTGGTGCTTGGCGTAGTGGGTGCTGGTGACTTCCCTCCTCCCCAGAGGTGGCTGCGCTGCAGTGAGGCCACAGGCACATGTGCAGAGATGCACTTGAGGCCCTCTGGAATTGAAGGGGCAGTGTAAACCAGGGTGCTAGACATGCTGCAGTGCCGGCAGCGCCTTGGCTCCATGCAGGGCTCCTGGGCGAGGCGCTCTGACCTGGGCCCTGCAGAGACTCACACTAGGTCCTCTGGCCTTCACATCGCTGAAATCCTGGTAGTCCCAATGAGCTGCTCCTGGGCTGGCTCTTCACCCTCCCACTAGACTAGAGAATGCTCTTCCAGGCCCGGAGCAAAGCCCCCTGGCTTGGGCTAGCTCACCTGGCCTGCACAAAGCTCTAGAGAGGACACTGAGGGGCCCAGCCCTGGGATTTTTCCATCGCTGGATCGTGCCGTTCTAAGCCAGTCCCTTGTTTTTCTCTCCTCTCCCCAGGTACATCAGCATCTTGCCAGCAATCCCCGTCACCTTGTACCTGGATCCACAAGAAGCCTTAGAAGTGCGCCACCCACAGGAGGCTAATCGCTACCACTCGTTCTTCCCTTCGAGCCTTGGGAAGCTGGAGGCGCTGGATCAGCCTCGCGAGGCCTTGCCCAAACTGCAAGGACACCAGGACATCACACTCTACAAGTAAGAGAGCTGACAGTCCCCTGTCGGCCCTGCCTCTGTCCCCCTGCTTGGGCAGCTTGGTTGCCTGGGGGCGCAGTGTCCTTGGGGAGAGAATATGGTCAGGGCTGAAGGGAGCCCCTGAAGCCCTGGATGCTTCTGTTACGTAAATCAGACCCATTGTTGTGGTCGTCAGAGGCTGGGGGTGATTCGGTGAGCAGCCTGAGCTGTTGGCCAGTGCACTGAGCCCCAAGAAATGCTGGGCTGCTCCTCACGATGCACTAGACACCCTGGGTACAACACCACGTGTGCGTAAGCCTTCGTTGTGTGTGCGCGGGGTAAGCAGGCACCTCAGAAAGGCAGCTTTGCTAGTTCAGAGCTGTGGCCTACGTGGCTGGCTGGGGTAGTGCGCTGTCAGCCATGCTCGTGTGCAGCTGAGCAATGAACAGAGTGAGATCCAGGAGGTGAGGCTAATGGGTGGAAATGACAAGAGAGGGGGCAGGGATCAGACAGCACTCTCCAGGCTACAAAGGAAAGCACCGTACCATTGAGAAACTGGCGTGTCCACTTTCCACTAGCACAGGGGTCGGGGGCCAGATGTGGCTCCCGGCTTGCCTGGATCTGGCCCCTTAGACTCTGGTGTGTGAGTGGAATTGGGGGGAATGTCTTGTTGGGGTTTTTTGCTTCTCGTTTGTGTTTTTCTGAGAGACAGTGGCCCTGACCCAAAAATGGATCCCCTCCCCTGTGCTAACATCAGCAGCAGAGCATGCATGAAACCCCTGATCATGCTGCTTCTCATCTTGCCTTGTATCCCTGACCTTGCCTTTCTGTGTGGCTGTAGCTCTCCTCTGGGGAAAAGCTGGCAGAGGACTAGGTCCGTGATTGGTTGTGGTGTGTGGGTTTTTGTTTTTAAATTGACCAGTGATTTTGGGGCCTTGGTTGCTGGGTGTTCAGCCTGACCCATCCTTAAAGAGTTGCCATTTTCAGAAAGTGCTGACACCTGCTGTCTGAAGGTCAGCGCCCTTTGAGGCATTCCAGCCTGGAGGCATCCAAACTCACTGCTGAAAGGCTGGATCCGAATCCTTTTTAGTATTCACATTCATTGCCTGGAGCTCTGTCTGATCCTAAGCAAACTGTTCAGACCTGCTGCAAGCCAAGTGTGACGGGTTCCATCACAGACACCCTCTTGGGACTGTCACTGAAATCCCACGGAGCCCACTTTCCTGCCCTCCTGGGCACACCTCAACTCTGTCCTGCTGGGCCAGGCCTCCGGCCGCCTCCAGCAGTGACACAGAGCTAGGGTCACAGCCTTGGGCACTTGCCTCAGCACCCACATGCACAGCCTCAAAGGGACCTAAGCCCAGGTCAGTCCGTCCTACGCTGTCTAAAGTCTCCTACAAGGTAACTCACATTCGCCCTCTTTCTCAGGGTAAAGAGAAGGATACACAGCTTCCTTTGCCCTCTCCCCGAGTTACACTCACAGGGGGTTTATTACACACAAAAGTGGTTTTATTAAGTATAGAAGGTAGGATTTGAGTGGTCATAAGAGATAGCAGGCAGAACAATGTAGGTTACTAAGAAAACGCAAGCTAAGCTTAATACACCAAGAAACCGGTTACATGGAATACTTCACCCTCAGCTATTCTGATAAGCTCTTCCTCAGACTGGGCAGCCTCCCATTCTGAACTCTGTCCTGCCCCCAGTTCCACCTTAGATGTTTCCAGTGGTCATCTTGGGTGGTAAGCAGGAGTACCCTGTTCTTTGGCTTCCCCCCTATGCCAAAGGCGGTCACTTTCAGGTTAAAAGCACAGCAGCCATGATGGGTCCTAGCATCAGGTGACATGTCACATATTGTGATAGGACCAACCATGGTCCTTCCTCCCTTGCTTACGAGAAAAACAAGTCCATTTACAGTTCATTGTTTTCTTGAAGTACCCTTACCGGCTCTCACTCAGCATGACTATTGTAATAAGACGCGTTTAGTCTCCATATTTCTAACTGCAAATGCAGGAATAATACACACACACACATACACACATAGAATAGTCACGCTCAGCAGATTATAACCTTCCTCATGGATGAATATAGGCAAGCAACACGGGAATGCAGGGGCAAGATTAGAAAGGCAAAGGCACAAAATGAGATCAAATTAGCTACAGGCATAAAGGGAAACAAGAAGACCTTTTATAAATACATTAAAAGCAAGAGGAAGACCAAGGACAGGGTAGGCCCACTGCTTAGTGAGGAGGGAGAAGCAGTAACAGGAAACTTGGAAATGGCGGAGATGCTCAATGACTTCTTTGTTTCGGTCTTCACCGAGAAGTCTGGAGGTGTGCCTAACATAGTGAATACAAGCAGAGAGAGGGTAAGTTTAGAAGATAGGATACACAAAGAACAAGTTAAAAATCACGTAGGAAAGTTAGATGTCAGCAAGTCACCAGGTCCTGATGAAATGCATCCCAGGATACTCAAGGAGCTGATAGAGGAGGTATCTGAGCCTTTAGCTATGATCTTTGAAAAATCATGGAAGACAGGGGAGATTCCAGAAGACTGGAAAAGGGCAAATATTGTGCCCATCTATAAAAAGGGGAATAAGAACAACCCAGGAAACTACAGACCGGTCAGTTTAACGTCTGTCCCAGGGAAGATAATGGAGCAGGTAATTAAGGAAATCATATGCAAACACTTGGAAGGTAATAAAGTGATAGGGAATAGCCAGCATGGGTTTGTGAAGAACAAGTCATGCCAAACTAATCTGATAGCTTTCTTTGATAAGATAACGAGCCTTGTGGATAAGGGAGAAGCGGTGGATGTCATATACCTAGACTTTAGTAAGGCATTTGATACGGTCTCGCATGATATTCTTATTGATAAACTAGGCAAATATAACTTAGATAGGGCCACGATAAGGTGGGTGCATAATTGGCTGGATAACCGTAGTCAGAGAGTTGTTGTTAACGGTTCTAAATCCTGCTGGAAAGGGATAACAAGTGGAGTTCCTCAAGGGTCTGTTTTGGGACCCGTACTGTTCAATATCTTCATCAATGATGTAGATATTGGGATAGAGAGTACGCTTATTAAGTTTGCAGATGATACCAAACTGGGTGGGGTTGCAACTTCTTTGGAGGATAGGGACATAATTCAAAATGACCTTAGCAAGTTAGAGAAATGGTCAGAGGTAAACAGGATGAGGTTTAATAAAGAGAAATGCAAAGTGCTCCACTTAGGAAGGAACAATCAGTTCCATACATACAAGATGGGAAGCGACTGTCTAGGAAGGAGCATGGCGGAAAGGGATCTAGGGGTCATAGTGGACCACAAGTTGAATATGAGTCAACAGTGTGATGCTGTTGCAAAAAAAGCAAATATGATTCTAGGTTGTATCAACAGGTGTGTTGTAAGCAAAACTCGTGAAGTCATTCTGCCGCTCTACTCTGCACTAGTTAGGCCTCAGCTGGAGTACTGTGTCCAGTTCTGGGCGCCACATTTCAAGAAAGATGTGGAGAAATTGGAAAGGGTACAGAGAAGAGCAACAAGAATGATTAAAGGTTTAGAGAACATGACCTATGAAGCCAGGCTTCATGAACTGGGCTTGTTTAGTTTGGAAAAAAGAAGATTAAGGGGGGACATGATAGCGGTTTTCAAATATCTAAAAGGGTGTCACAAGGAGGAAGGAGAAAATTTGTTCCTCTTGGTTTCTGAGGACAGGACAAGGAGTAATGGGCTTAAAGTGCAGCAGGGGAGGTTTAGATTGGACATTAGGAAAAAATTCCTAACTGTCAGGGTGGTCAAATATTGGAATAAATTGCCAAGGGAGGTGGTGGAATCTCCCTCTCTGGAGATATTTAAGAACAGGTTAGATAGACATCTGTCAGGGATGGTGTAGACAGAGCTTGATCCTGCCTTGAGGGCGGGGGGCTGGACTCGATGACCTCTCGAGGTCCCTTCCAGTCCTATGATTCTATGATTCTATGATTCTATACGTTATACTTCCAAGAAATATTTTGCCTAAAGCACATTCCAGTTATTCGTAAGCACACTTGCATAAAGCATATGGACTGCCCCGTGACAGTCTGCATTGAGGAGCCAAATCTCTAGGGCTGGGACACACTTTGTGTTGTTTTTCTGTTCAGAGCCCTGGTCCTAGTCTGGGTGTTTAGGGCTCTCCTCTAAGGTAACTAATAACGAGAAGCAGGGGGTCAGAATGTGGAGTTGCGAGAGCCAATCTAATGCAGCCTCCCAGGAGCAGAGGGGCCAGAACGTGTCTGGAGCCGTCTGGAAAACGGAGTTCCCATCCCACAGGAAATTCTTACATGTTGATGATTGTTTTCACCCTGAACTGGACAAGAAGAGCAACATGTCTTTGGAACAGTCCTGAAAAATGGCAGTTCAGAAACGCTCGAATGTTTTCTGTTGGAACTTTTCATTCTGACTTTTCCCATCGCACAGGCTTGCAAGGAGTGATTGACTGTGCAAGGGCAGGGCCATGCATGCAGCCAGGTTTAAAAAAAATGGAGATTGCCTATCTCCTAGAACTGGAAGGGACCTTGAAAGGTCATTGAGTCCAGTCCCCTGCCTTCCAGGACCAAGTACCATCCCTGATGAATTTTTACCCCAAATTCCTAAATGGGCTCCTCAAGGATTGAACTCACAACCCTGGGTTTAGCAGGCCAATGCTCAAACCACTGAGCTATCCTTGCCCCTTATATGAGCTAGAAGGGACCTTGTGAGGTCATTGAGCCCACTCCACTGCCCTCACAGATTTACCCCAGATCCCTAAGTGCCCCCCCCCCCAGGATTGAACTCACAACCCTCAGTTTAGCAGACTAATTCTTAAATCACTGAGCTATATTTCCCCAGTGACAAATCAGAAAATACTGTCAATGTTGACGTTTTTCCCCGAAAAATGTGAATTTCAGCAAACTCCATATTTTGTCTTGGGGAAATTTCAGTCGACAAACCCGCCATCTGCATAACACTTCAGGCTCAGCAACAGCACTTATGAGGCAGGAGTTGGTTACTGGACATAAAACAATGTGATCTGTGGATGAAGATTTCTCTCCCCCACTCCCCGTTCTTAATGCTGTGAACAGGTGTTTAAAATGCCTCCCAGGCTGTATGTGCAGTGGCTCCTAAAACCTGCAGGCACTTCAGCCTCCCCAGCTGAGGAGGTAAATTGGGAGCCCTAAGCCAGCCTCCTGTCCAGAGCAGACCAGCTGCTTGCTAGGAGGCACTCTGAAGCAATGAGTAGGGAGCATCGGGTGGCTTGGCACAGCTCACATCCTTCTCTCTCATCAGGGTAGCTGCTCTGGGCCTGGCCTCCGGCATTCTCCTGGTTCTGCTGCTCTTTTGCCTGTACCGAGTGTTCTGCCCCAAAACCTATGGGCAGAGCGGGCTCTCTCACAGCCGGAGGAAGAGGGGGGACCTGCCCTGTGACGACTACGGCTATTCCCCACCCGAGACCGAGATCGTCCCCCTGGTCCTCAGGGGGCACCTCATGGTAGGTGGGCCTGGGTCGGAGGTCTGGCACCTGGAAGTCTCAGACCTCAGAAGGTAGCAGGGAGTCCTGTGGGTCAGTGGGGCCCACGTGCACTGTGCAGGTAGCACCTGAGGTGATGATGGAGCATGATGCACCCCTCCTCTTTGGCTCCCAACCCTCCAGATTTTGACAGGAATCTCCTGGAATCAGACTCCATGTCCCGGAGGCGACTGTCTGGCAGCGCAGTGGGGCTAGTGCAGGTTCCTTGCTTGTCTTGGCCCTGCATCACTCCCAGAAGTGGCCCACTCGTCCCTGGGGGAGGGGGCGGGGAGGTCTCTGCATGCTGCCCCCCACCCTGAGTGCCCCTGCCACAGCTCCCGTTGGAAGGGACCTGCAGGAAGGGGCAGCGTGTGGAGACCCTCAGGCCCCCATCCAGGAGCCACAGGGACACGCCTGCCGCTTGCTGGAGTGGCAGGGGGCAGGGTGAGAAGGGAGCTCGCCTTAAACACTGGGAGCTGCCCAAGGCAAGCACCACCTGACAGGAGCCCACTCCCTTTTCTGCACCCCATGCCCATGCCCCTGCCCCAGCCAGTACCCCACAGCTCCTTCAGCACCTCAGCTCCAGGCCTTAGTCTCAGCCCAGAGCTCCCTCCCACATTCCAACCCTGGTGAGAGTGAGTGAGAGTGGGGAGGGGCGGGGGCTGGAGTGGGTGTGGCCTCAGGAAAGGGGTGTGGCAGGGGAGATGAGGAGGGTGTTTGGGTTTGTGTGACTGGGCAGTTGGCAACCCCACCTCACAGTCTATGATGTGTCTGTGCCCTCGGCGGCTGCTGCCCCACTGCCTACGGGCACAGCTAGCGCTCTTCACTCGCCAGGCTGCTCAGCCCCACTCCCCTGGCAGGAGCTGGCCTGCTTTGTTCTCTGCAGAATGAGGGGTGCTTATGTTCAGGGTGGGGAGAGCCCTGCAAACCCGCAGGTGCCTGCATTGTATCTGCGCATATGGAGGCAGATATCTGTGGCTCATGCTGTGGCGTGGACTCCAGTTTTGTATTTGCGCAGGGCTCTACAGGCGGGCTTCATAGAAATGTGCCAGTTCCCCAGCACGCTGACAGCCATGTCGGTCCCTCCTCCCTGCCTTTCCTGTGGGCAGCTGTGCCCCTTGGAGCACGGCTGCTCGGCATGCAGCCTGGCCCGGGGACACTACAGTTTTACACTGCAGCCTACAGTGCCTTCATCTGGAGCTGAGATTACAGCTCCCAGCATGCAGTGCTCCCTCTTGGGCCAAGCAGCCAGCCCGCGCTGCATGCTGGGGCCTGCCGCCTCCCTAGGCCGCACCCCTGCAGAGTTGGAGTCTGCCCCCTGGTGCCAGTATGCACAGTCCTAGGGCTCCAAGGCCATTGCCAGGCAGTCCTGCACCAGCAAATCATTTCCACCGGGACATCACTGGCCTGGGGCATCTGCCAGAACAGCGGGAGGGTGCAGAGCGCTCCCAGGCCTGCTGGGGTTAGCTGGGTCCATGGGCTCAGTGTAGACCTTTCTTCCTCCTCAGGATATCGAGTGCCTGGCCAGTGACGGGATGCTGCTCGTCAGCTGCTGCCTCGTGGGTCAGATCCGAGTGTGGGATGCTCAGACTGGAGACTGCCTCACTGTCATCCCCAAACAAGGGTATGTTCACTAGTGTGTGAATAGTGCAAGCACTCCCCTGTCCTTAAACAGTCGCTGCTCGCTAATCCGTGCAGGCACCCTTGTGCTTACATAGAAGCTGCTGGCTAGTCCGCACAAACATCTATGTTCTTGCACAGTCTCTGCTCACTAGCCCATGCAAGCACTCCTGTCTTTACACAGTTGCTGCTCACTAATTTGTGCAAGCACCCTGTCCTTACATAGTCACTGCTCGCTAACCCATGCAGGCATCCCTGTCCTAACAGCCAGCTTCTGTACCCAATGACTGGAAGTCTCCATGCACATACCCCTGTCTTTACACGGTTGCTGCTCACTAACTCGTGCAAGCACCCTGTCTTTACACAGTCACTGCTTACTAGCCTGTGCAAGCACCCCTATCCTTACATAGTCACTGCTCGCTAACCCATGCAGGCATCCCTGTCCTAACAGCCAGCTTCTGTACCCAATGACTGGAAGTTAGCTAATGTAGCAATATTTAAAAAGGGCTCTTTAAATTGCAGACCGATAAGTCTAACATCAGTACTGGGCAAATTAGTTGAAACAGTAGTAAAGAATAAAATTGTCAGACACATAGAAGAAGATAACTTGTTGGACAAAAGTCAACATGGTTTCTGTAAAGGGAAATCCTGTCTTACTAATCTATTAGAGTTCTTTGAAGGGGTTAACAAACATGTGGACAAGGGGGATCCAGCAGATACAGTATACTTAGATTTCCAGAAAGCCTTTGACAAGGTCCCTCACCAAAGGCTCTTACGTAAATTAAGTTGTCATGAGTTAAGAGGGAAAATCCTTTCATGGACTGAGAACTGGTTAAAAGACAGGAAACAAAGGGGAGGAATAAATGGTAAATTTTCAGAATGGAGAGGGGTAACTAGCGCTGTTCCCCAAGGGTCAGTCCTAGGACCCATCCTATTCAACTTATTTATAAATGATCTGGAGAAAGGGGTAAACTTTGAGGTGGCAAATTTGCAGACGATACTAAACTGCTCAAGGTAGTTAAGACCAAAGCAGACTGTGAAGAACTTGAAAAAGATCTCACCAAACTAAGTGATTGGCAACAAAATGGCAAATGAAATTGAATGTGGATAAATGTAAAGTAATGCACATTGGAAAAAATAACCCCAACTATACATACAATATGATGGGGGCTAATTTAGCTACAACTAATCAGGAAAGAGATCTTGGAGTCATCGTGGATAGTTCTCTGAAGACGTCCATGCGGTATGAAGCGACAGTCAAAAAATCAAACAGGATGTTAGGAATCATTAAAAAAGGGATAGAGAATAAGACAGAGAATATCTTATTGCCCTTATATAAATCCATGGTACGCCCACATATTGAATACTGCATACAAATGTGGTCTCCTCATCTCAAAAAAGATAATACTGGCATTAGAAAAGGTTCAGAGAAGGGGAACTAAAATGATTAGGGGTTTGGAACTGGCCCCATATGAGAAGAGATTAAAGAGACTGGGACTTTTCAGCTTTGAAAAGAGGAGACTAAGAGGGGATATGATAGAGGGATATAAAATCATGAGTGGTGTGGAGAAAGTGAATAAGAAAAAGTTATTTCCTTGTTCCCATAATACAAGAACTAGGGGCCCCCAAATGAAACTGTGGGTACATCTAGACTACAGGCTTTTGTCTACAGAGGCTTTGTTGACAGATACTGTCGACAAAGCTTCTGTCGACAAAGAGAGTCTAGACTACATCCAGTTCTGCCGACAAAGCAAGGCGCTTTGTCGATACGAGAGTGTAGACGCAAAGGTCAGTGTAGATGCAATAATGCCTTCTGTCGACAGAACTCTGTTGACAAAAGGCGTTATTCCTCATAGAATGAGGTTTATCTCTGTCGATAAAACTGCCGAGTTCTGTCGATGTTATGTTGACAGAACTCTGCGGTAGTGTAGATGCAGGTATAGTTTTGTTGACAGAAGTCCACTTTTGTCAACAAAACCCTGTAGTCTAGACACACCCTAATGGGCAGCAGGTTTAAAACAAATAAAAGGAAGTTCTTCACACAGTGCATAGTCAATCTGTGGAACTCCTTGCCTGAGGAGGTTGTGAAGGCTAGGACTATAACAGGGTTCAAAAGAGAACTGGATAAATTCATGGAGGTTAAGTCCATCAATGGCTATTACCCAGTATGGGCAAGGCATGGTGTCCCCAGCCTCTGTTTGTCAGAGGGTGCAGATGGGTGGCAGGAGAGAGATTGCTTGATGATTACCTGTTCAGTTCACTCCCTCTGGGACACCCAGCATTGGCCACTGTGGGCAGACAGGCTACTGGGCTGGATGGACCTTTGGTCTGACCCAGTACGGCCGTTCTTATGTTCGTAACAGTCCCTGCTCACTAGCCCGTGCAAGCATCCCTGTCCTTATATAGTCACTGCTCGCTAACTCGTGCAAGCACCCCAGTCCTTACATAGTCACTGCTCAGTAACCTGTGCAAGCACCGCTGTCCTTTCATAATCACTGTTCCCTAACCCGTGCAAGCCCTGCTGTCCTTACACAGTTAGGGTGTGTCTAGACTACAGGGTTTTGTCGACAAAAGTGGACTTTTGTTGACAAAACTATACCTGTGTCTACCACTGAGTTCTGTTGCCATGACGTCGACAGAACTCAGCTGTTTTGTCGAGGGCTGTAAACCTCATTCTACGAGGAATTCAGAGTTCTGTCGGCAGAAGGCGTTATTGCATCTACGTTGTCATGTTGACAAAGCGGCTTGCTTTGTGGACAGAACTGGATGTGTCTAGACGCTCTTTGTCGACAGAAGCTTTGTTGACAGTATCTGTTGACAAAACTTCTGTTGTCAAAAGCCTGTAGTCTAGACATACCCTTACTGCTCATTAGCCTGTGCAAGCACCCTGTCCTTACACGGTCACTGCTCACTAACCCGTGCAAGCACCGCTGTCCTTACACAGTTACTGCTCACTAACCCGTGCAAGCCCCCTGTCCTTAATCAGTCTCTGCACACTAGCCCATGCAAGCACCCTGTCCTTACACGGTCACTGCTCACTAACCCGTGCAAGCACCGCTGTCCTTACACAGTTACTGCTCACTAACCCGTGCAAGCCCCCTGTCCTTAATCAGTCTCTGCACACTAGCCCATGCAAGCACCCTGTCCTTACACGGTCACTGCTCACTAACCCGTGCAAGCACCGCTGTCCTTACACAGTTACTGCTCACTAACCCGTGCAAGCCCCCTGTCCTTAATCAGTCTCTGCACACTAGCCCATGCAAGCACCCTGTCCTTACACGGTCACTGCTCACTAACCCGTGCAAGCACCGCTGTCCTTACACAGTTACTGCTCACTAACCCGTGCAAGCCCCCTGTCCTTAATCAGTCTCTGCACACTAGCCCATGCAAGCACCCTGTCCTTACACGGTCACTGCTCACTAACCCGTGCAAGCACCGCTGTCCTTACACAGTTACTGCTCACTAACCCGTGCAAGCCCCCTGTCCTTAATCAGTCTCTGCACACTAGCCCATGCAAGCACCCTGTCCTTACACGGTCACTGCTCACTAACCCGTGCAAGCACCGCTGTCCTTACACAGTTACTGCTCACTAACCCGTGCAAGCCCCCTGTCCTTAATCAGTCTCTGCACACTAGCCCATGCAAGCACCCTGTCCTTACACGGTCACTGCTCACTAACCCGTGCAAGCACCGCTGTCCTTACACAGTTACTGCTCACTAACCCGTGCAAGCCCCCTGTCCTTAATCAGTCTCTGCACACTAGCCCATGCAAGCACCCTGTCCTTACACGGTCACTGCTCACTAACCCGTGCAAGCACCGCTGTCCTTACACAGTTACTGCTCACTAACCCGTGCAAGCCCCCTGTCCTTAATCAGTCTCTGCACACTAGCCCATGCAAGCACCCTGTCCTTACACGGTCACTGCTCACTAACCCGTGCAAGCACCGCTGTCCTTACACAGTTACTGCTCACTAACCCGTGCAAGCCCCCTGTCCTTAATCAGTCTCTGCACACTAGCCCATGCAAGCACCCTGTCCTTACACGGTCACTGCTCACTAACCCGTGCAAGCACCGCTGTCCTTACACAGTTACTGCTCACTAACCCGTGCAAGCCCCCTGTCCTTAATCAGTCTCTGCACACTAGCCCATGCAAGCACCCTGTCCTTACACGGTCACTGCTCACTAACCCGTGCAAGCACCGCTGTCCTTACACAGTTACTGCTCACTAACCCGTGCAAGCCCCCTGTCCTTAATCAGTCTCTGCACACTAGCCCATGCAAGCACCCTGTCCTTACACGGTCACTGCTCACTAACCCGTGCAAGCACCGCTGTCCTTACACAGTTACTGCTCACTAACCCGTGCAAGCCCCCTGTCCTTAATCAGTCTCTGCACACTAGCCCATGCAAGCACCCTGTCCTTACACGGTCACTGCTCGCTAGCCTATGCAGACATGCTAGCCTATGCATGATTTGTGGCAGGACACCCTGCCACCAGGAAAAGGGGTGGATTTTCACACCTCCATGGAGTCACTGTTCATGTGTTGTCTATTGTTCCTAGCCGCTCCCGCAGCCTCTGCTGGCCTGCCCAGCCAGGAGCGCTAACCTGCCGCTGCTGTGTTTCAGGTTGCGCAGAGACAGCAGCGGCATCTTTGATTACCAGGAGAGCTGGGACCAGAGCCCAGACCCCCAGAACGGGCCAGAGGATTCCTTCGACGGTAGCCACCCGCTCAAGAGGATGCTGAGCCCCCTGCTGCCCCCTCTGTTCTACAACCAGCCGGACCTCACCTCTCTCATCGACACCAACTTCTCGGATCAGGCCAAGGGGGTGGGGCCGGAGCCCAGGCACCGCGCCGCCTGCGGCCGGCACAGGGACACGGGCTATGACTTCAGCAGGCTGGTGAAGAAGGTCTATGAGGAGCAGAGCACTTCAAACTGCATGAACTTTGCTGGTTTCCCGGCTCCCCCCGGACAGGCTGCTTTCTGCGCTGGCCTGAGCTGCGGGGCTGGGGAGGGAGGCTGCAGCGCCCGCAGGAAGAGCCTTGGGGACGAGCCTTTTGCCGGATTTGACAAGTCCTCCCCCGTCTCTGCCTGGAGCGGTGACTTGGAAAGCTCTGTCTGGAGCCTGGACCTGCAGGGGAACCTCATCGTGGCTGGCCGGAGCAACGGGAACCTGGAGGTAAGAGCAGGTTGCACCCCTGGAAAGTAGGGGGGTCACATCCCGTTCCGCTGGTTAGCCGGTTAAACAGCATGGAGAACCGGGTTACCAGGAAAGGGTGGGGGCTGCTTCACCCCACTGAGGTGGAGCCGCTGCCCACCAAAGCAGGGCTGGAGCGAGGCCCCTGCTGCAGGCAGGGGATGCTCTGGCAGTGGGCTTGGGCATGTCACAGAAAGGAGCTGCTGCAGTCAGCTGGAGCAGCCTCGGCCTG